GAGACGCTTGCTTTTTTGGTTTTTACTTCAGGTGTTTGCTTAAATTCATGATGCAAATTTCTATACAATTAAATATTTAAAAAAATTTCATCATGAACTTAATGAGGGAAATACTGACAAAAAAAATCATTAATAATTTTTGTTGTGATTAATTTGAAATAATTACGGATAAAAAATTTAAGACCAGAATAAAGAGGGAAAGGCGGGTCCAAACTATGTACTTAGAAGAATAAATTATTAATTACACCTTTCTCCCTTTAGGATGTTTTTAAAGGAACATATAGCACGCAAGTTTAAAAATATAAACGTAACAAATATTTGACAGGGACTAGTGGGGCAGCTCAGTGGTTGAGCGAAAAAATTCCTCCCCCGACTCCCATATTTGATCCCTAACAGTTCCAAAAAAAAAACAAATAATTGACACATTCTAAATATTGCATCAAATTAAAATGCACCAAATGACATGGTGCATTCCAAAATATACATCAAATAATTTGACCCTCGCATGCCCCCCAAAACAATTAAATTTCACATAATTGTTCATATTCTTAATTTAAATTTAAGTACTGCTCAATACCGACCTCAGTACTACTCGGTACTCAGTACTTCACAGTGCCGAGCTCAATATTATGAATATCGAGCTTAAGCTGTGTCGGATGACGTTACCCAATAATTTACCCTCTCTCCCCCTCTCTCTCTCTCTCTCTCAACCCCCTAAATAGCAGCCTCTCTCTCTCTCCCCCACCTAATGATTACAAATAATTTTATAATAATGAACTTCTTGCGTTATTTTCGCCTATATATAGTTGGTGCAGCTCTTCTTCATCTGATCCTCATCGCTCCAGTGTTCCATTCCCCTCTCCATTCTTCTCAAGTTTTTCATCGTCCAGAAATGAGAGCTTCGATCGTCATCGCTCTCCTCATTGTCGCCACCGGCGCTGCAAGCCTTACAACCGCCACTGTCCATAACGTCGGTGATTTCGCAGGCTGGACCGTAGAAGTGAACTATTCGGCTTGGGCTGCAACGAAGACTTTCAATCTGGGAGATACCATCGGTGAGAGACCTAGCAACCCCTTTGTCTAACTAAAATTTTTTGCATCATTTCTAATGCTTTTAGCCTTTTATTAATTTGTTGAAAAAAAAAAAAAGTGTTCACATATGATAAATCGTCACACGATGTGGTGGAGCTGGAGGAAGCTGAGTTTTCCTCCTGCAATGTCACCGCACCCATTGCATCCTACTCCACCGGAAATGACTCCATTGTCATTTACCGGTATGGCCACAGTTTCTTCGCCTGTGGATTCCCCGGCCACTGTGTAGCCGGCCAAAAACTGGACATCAACGTCCCCAAGAACCGATCCGCCACCCTTTCAGCTCGCCGGTCAGCGCACCACGGGAAAGGCGACACAACGAGCATTAGTGGATACGGCACAGTTGCTGTTGTTATAACTGTCACAATCTCAGTGATAGTTCTACGTTGTGTCTTTTTTGACTAACTAGTTGTTTGTTTAAAATATGTAATGGAGTGAATTTGGTGTTATTATATGTGTGATATGTGTGTCTGTTAAAAGCTGTTTGAAAGAAACTAAATATTACTATGTTTAAAGAATATTTTTACTGCGTTTTCTGTTTTGATACGGTGAAATTAAATTTTGAAATGGGTTTGGATGTTCTGTTTTATATTTCAATTCCATTTCGAACCAAATTTTGAACGCTGTTGGTCACTTCTTTTTGAGAGCGATCCGCTCGAGCTAGCTAGCCAGGAAGGCGTCCTGATCTGCGAGCGAGCAGAAAAACTCTTTGCAAATTTTTATTTTCACTATAGTCTTCTTAATTACAAATTTGTTAACAAGTAGAGATCTCGAAACTCTCATACTTCCTGCAGGAGCAAGGCGCACAAATTCCAGCACCCGAACCTGAAAAGCCAAAAACTTTAATGAAACAATTGCCTTCAGAAGAACATGAAAGGAGAGAGTGTTACAGATTCTCACCATTACTCTTGTCATAAAACGTCCAATAGCTGTCGAGGGGAAGCTACTCAAGGAGAAATGGCTCGTATCCATAGGCAAATACCATGGCAAAGGTGAATCAGTAGCAAAATCCTTCTCCCAAATGACCTTCAACAAAACAAGTTACAGGTTTATATCCCCAACTTCTCCAATTGCCTTTGTTATAGGCTTTGTTTGGGACAGTTTTCTTACTACTTCTTAAAGCAGCTTTTTAGCACAAAGATTTTAAAGCTTCTTTAGGAAGCAGTTGGAAAGCCGTCTCAAACAAAGCCATGGTCGAAAATTTACCTCAAATCCAGCTTTTTGTAAGGCATCAAGGCATTGATGTGTTGATCTTATGTCAGGAAGCCCATTACCAATCTCAATCTCAGCCTTTATCTTCTTATGGCTTTCATTAGTGGGATCATATTGATCGGTCATGCACCATTCATAAGCAGCAAAGCACTGCCCTGGCTTCAGTACCCTGTATATCTCCTTATAGCATCCAAACTAGTCAAACAAACAAAAAACACAAAGCAATTATCAGTCTCCACTAGGGGTGTAATGTTAGTATACTTAAATATAATAATTATGCGAGACATCGCACTAAATATTTATGTATATATATTTAACTATATAAATCAATAAGTGATCCATATATTTGAATTATTGAAATTTAATTATTTATATTTAAATCCTATTGGTCAAGAAGAGATAATTTGATCAATCGTATATGGACCGTTTGATCAAATATATCATATGAGCGATTATTATAATTAATTCGTAGTAAATAACTACCGGTCATCTCTCTCTCTCACATTATGAGGAGTTAGTTTGTTCCATAGAGAATTTACTCATCAAAGAAAAAAGTGAAATGAAAAAGGGAGAAAAACCGTAGTTTAGAATTCAATGAATTCAACATGAGTCAAGATATGTTTTCTTCCGATTAAAATCTTGTAAAAATCATCTTGTTTAAGATCTTGTGGATTTAAGATTTACGTAAATTCATATTTTTCATTTTGATTTCTTTTTCATAATTTATGATGCGAGTTCTTCCAAGAGTTAGAAAACTCATAATGCATGTTGCGAGTTCTTGTAAAAGTTAGAGAACTTAATCTTAAAGAAAGTTCTTATAAGAATATGAGAACTCTTGAATCTTACATGTAAAACTAGTCTGGCCGAGCTCAAGTCATCTTTAGCTTATGAGCTTGATTAACTTATCAAGTACACGCTCAAGCTCAAGCCCAATTCTAAGAATTTGAATATTTTTTAAATGAGCCAGCTCATGAGCTAATGAGCCGATTTGAGATTGGCTCAAGTCTACTTCATTCGGTCATAAAGTTCAACTCACTAACCATTCATCACTCACAAGCCACATTATTTCAATTACACCCCTACTCCCCAATCTAGTAATAAAGCATGCTCACAATGATGGATTAAGAGCTTAGTAGCGACTCACAACATCAGGAGCATGGCAGGTTGCTGCTATAGCATATATAGCATCATAAGTATTGTCACGGAAAGGCATCTTCATAAAGTCAGCCTGCAAAAGTTAAGAACAAAAACACATCAAATTTTTTGGTTCAGAACTTAACAAATTATGTGGAGACTAATAAAGATATCAGAAAAATGCCAAAGATTGCAGAGATTTCAACCAGATATTAATTAAACAACATAGCTTATGCAGTGACAATGAAGAAATGATTAAGGTTTTGTTTGAGACCTCTTTTTTTATGTTTCTTAAAGGAGCTTCCTAATACAATTTTTTTTAATTTTTGTACTAGAAAGCTGTTTTAAGAAGCAATAAAAAAAGCCATCCCAAACGAAGCCTAAAATGCACCTTGACGAAATCGCAAGAATTGACCAGTCCAACTAAGCGGTTTAGCTCCTGAGAAAGGGAAGAGAAGATGAGTCTCCCAGAAGAGGTTTTAAATAATATCAATCAACAAAACTACATTAATGAACATTCAGTAAAAATATATACTTACAATAGCCCTGGCTATCTGGTATTCATTGTTGTTCAGTCCAGTGATAGACACAAAGCTGCAATTTTTCACTACTTCAAAAAGTTTTTTAACAAAATACTGCTTTAGAAAAGATTAAGGTTTTGTTTTTGACGGTTTTCTTACTATTTTCTAAAGCAACTTGTTAGTTCAAAAATTTCTTCAATTAAAAATTTTTATGCTAAGAAGCTGATTTAAAAAGCATTAAAAAAATCGTCCCAAACGAAGCCTAAGAAAGTTGTCTTAAACAAGCTTTGATTTCTGGTCTTCAATATCATCCCTCGTGCGAGACAAGTATTGCACTTTACTATTTGATAAGATTTTGAGATAAAAGCGGTTACTATTGAAGGAGACCCACCAACTGATATGCAAGTGGCCGAGGAGGTTTTAGAACAAGGCATAAGGAAGAGGAGCTTGCAAAGGCTGAGGAAGTTGAGAAGGAAGAAGAAGAAAGTAGGGTTCCAATTGATGTGCTACTCTCCGGTGATAATGACAGTCAACTGTCAATGGCACTGAACTGAAGTACCGAGCGGTACAGAGCAGTATCGAGCCGTGATACAAAATGAAGGGGTGACATGATGTATTCTGATTGGTCTCCAAACGACGTTTGACGTCCGCATAAAATAATTAATCCTCATTAATCATCAAAAAAGAGCACCTCAAGCTTTTGAAAATATGTGTACTTAAAAAATCATGGACCGTGCTGTGGCGTTTTCTAAGACTTTGCCACTAACAAATCTTGTGCACTTTAAAAATGATTTGGTTTATCAACAACAAAGAGGCCGACTCTATGTGAGATTCTTCATTCACTTGAAAGTATGTCAATAAGATCACTAAGGTATGAGAGATTATTATGTATCGTCATCGGACGTTGTCCAGAGGCGAATCAAGACATGTCACATCATAATTTTACTGTATACTGCTGTGTATTGGGTGACGTGGCACATCCTGATTCGCCTCTGAATGATCTAGTGACTATACGTAATAATTTCTCCTAAGTGATATTTATCCTTAATAAATTTAGACAAAAATAAAGGAATTAGATACAAAAGCTTAAGAAAAGATATCTTGCCTGAACCGAGATATTTCCCTCAAAGGGCCACCAATTCCACATCCAACATCTAATACCTATATCAGCCAGACAGAGAAAAGCTGCATCAGTTTTACATGGAACTGTTAAATTCAAATAACATCATAACATTCATTGATAGCAAGATTGTGCAATACCCGCATTCCTCTTTTGAGGCCTAGCTGAAGGGCAAGAAAGTGCTCTTGGCGTTTGATACTTTCCTTTAATGATTCACCTTTCCATCTTCACAAAAAGAAAAATTCAACTACTACTCTTTAGCCTTACAAAGATATAGGCTTTGCTTAGAATAGCATTTCAACTGCTTTTGTGATAAGAAGAGTTGTTAGTAAGTAAGAAAACAATGTGTGTTTGGAAGAACATTCTCACCGTTATTTCGAACATTTGTTTTTGAAAAGCTGCTTTTGGAAAAGCATTTTTAAAATTATGATTGGAGAAGAAGCTTTTAAAAGCAAAAACATGAAAGTTTAAGCTTCCCCAACAAATTCATAGAGTAAATAACATTGGTCCTTTGGATATAAGATTTCATCTAGGTTCTAGCATCATATTATGATATATTTTTTAGCATATGGGCCTATGTTAAATGATCAATTTACCTCATTGATGTCAATGCAACATATATACATAAACAAAAGGGCTTGCCTAACCTGTCAGCAAAGTGGAAAGATTCACCCCAGCCAAATTCATAAAAGCTGGTTGCAAGATCATAGTACTTGTTTACCTAAAATTCATTAAAAAAAAAAAACATAAATAGGAAAGCTATGTAAATATTTTCCTTCTGTCACAAGGCAATACATGCAAAAACTATCAAAGGTGGTGCATCAAACTCTTAATGACAAGATATAGCTTTTAAAGCATTAAGACATTAATGGTAAGATAGAGCTTATTTGTAACAAGTGTTCAAAATGACAATCAAGTAATAAAAAAAATCGAAAACTCGGATAAAATAAGAGGATAAGGTTAAATAACTTGCCATATCAGTGTAGTTAGTTTTCCTTGTTTTCTCATCACCTCCAAATTCGACGTGATACTTCTCATATCTAGAGCAATAAACCAAGGAAAGCATTATGAACAAAGTGCTTAAAAAAAAGAGTAATAGGATTGGATCTTAAAATGCACTAGCTATTTCAAAATTGAAAAGGAACATCAATAAGACGTAAAAAAGAATAAAAAATAAAACATCATTGATAAATCAAGTATAAGATTCAGAATTCATTATCGGTCAAAAGATTCACATAACTACAATAGAAGAAAGATGAAAAAAATGTTTGAAAATTGTTCTTCATATCAGTTTACATTAAAGCCACCTTAGATTTAAAAAGAATAAGTGTTATAATTTTCTTTCATTAATATTTGCATAATACCAATTCATGCTACAACTGATAAAGGATTCAATGGGCAAAATAAGGAGAAAATAATCTAAAATTCTCATTTTAAGTAAATAAATTACAATCCTAATGTTTCAAAAGAAAGAATGCAATCTTATAAAAAAGCATGGGGGGCAAAGTTAGACAAATCTTTCCAATCATACTTTTAACCTTCCTTAAAGTTGGTGCATCAATTGGAACAAAAATTACAAATAAATTTTAGTCAAAAGTTTTTAAAAATACTTAAAATAAACTGTAGAGGCTTTGTTGGGCACCAAAATTGTCAAAACTTAGTTGAAATTTTTTGTGGAATCTCCTACTGATGTTTAAACACTTCACAAAAAAATTTAAAATTTTTCTTGAAGTATTTTCTTAAGATATATTCTTTGAGTAACTCTTGCTCAATAATTGTTGCACTATATCAATAAAAAAAATTGTTGAAGCTGAAAATAAATTAATTTTCTTTCTTTACTTGATGTCATTCGAAAGAAAATTCATATGTTCATATGTTTCCATAGTTTTTTTATATATTTAGTATGTTTTTTGTCTTCTTTTTTATTTCAAAATTCACCTAAATCTTATGTTGATGTATTGATTTATTTTAGGTATCATCAAAGAAAGAGCTTGATGATGTTGGATATCTATATTGGTGATATCGAGCATCGACGTTGATATTGATGTCATTAAAATCATATAAGATGAGCAACAATAGATGTAGATGTTACTTTCTTGAAAACTATAACAAATTTCAAAGGACAAGAGACTACATGTGGAAGATGAGAGAAGAGTTTGAAAGTTGTGAAAGACTTTATGAAATATCTTGTGATGTTAATGCACTACAGGAAATTTAGCTATTACTGGCGGTTTACCTGGTTTTACCACGGCTTTTCGGCGTTTTATAAGACGCCGGAAAAAACGGCGTCGGAAATCATTGCCGGCAGTTTTTTTCCGGCGGTTTATTTCTCCGACGGCTTTCCGGCGATGCTTGCTGCCGGTTATCACCGGAGTTATTACCGGTAGCTTTCCGGCCATCCAACCACCGACAACCATACCGGCGGCTACCCAACGGTCCGTGCCGACGGAATTGCTGGCGGTTGTAGCCGCCGACGTGTCGCCGAACAACCGCCAGCAAGCGTCGGTAAACCGCCGGTAAAATACCGGCGGTCCGAACTGACGGCATGTCCGGCGGTGTAAGCCGGCGGTGTATCGCCGGATACCAGCCGGCAAGCGTCGGTAAACCGCCGGTAAAAACCGGTGGTTTAAAGAGATTTCCGGTATCTTAAATAACCGCCGGTGAGGCCGCCGGTATTAACCGACGGCCAAACCGCCGGTTAAACCACTGTTATTACTGGTGGCTAGACAACCGCCAGTCTAAGCCGCTGATAACAGCTGAATTTCCTGAAGTGATGAAGATATGTTAATATCATTTAGATTTAGCTGCATAAGGGTTTAAAATAAGACTTTTTTTTATCCATTCTTCGAATATAGGTTCCTTCGTGTATTGATATATAAGCTTGATTTATATTTACAATCATGTTTGTGAAAATAATGTTAATAATTAATGAACTCTTAATCTTTTAGTAAGAATACTTCAAATTTCTAAGAACTTTCCCCTGGAAAATTAATACATTTTGATGTATGCTTCTCTAAGCATAATTGATATTTTGACATAATAGTGAAAGACTTTCTTGATATTATAATTTAGCCAAACTCTTTATCAATGCTAAGGTTATGAAGAGTTTATTTTCTTTAAGTTATTATAATGGTGTGTCACCCGACTCTTAACTCATGGCAAGAGATGTTGAAAAAAAATCCACTAATTAGGACTTTTGGCTTATCTTAAGTTATTTGTTAGGGTGCTACTAAATGATGTTAACCTATGTGGAAGATATCAAGAGAAATCCACACAAAAATTTTAACCTATCCGAGATTATTTTTTAGAGTATTTCTTCATGATGTTAACTTGTGCGAAATATATCAAAAGAAATTCACCAGATTTGTTTGAACTGTCATATATTGTTTGTCAGAGTGTTAGTTGATGATTGTTATTGTCCTCACAATTATGACATTACTAGGGAAGTAAAAGTCTAGCTAGGGATTGTGTGTACACTACAGAAAAGAACAATTTGCAGCGGACTTTGAAAAAAAAATAAAAAAAATTCTCTGAGATAGCAGCAGATTTGCAACATAATTTTTTGTCGTTTATTTTGTGACAGATTTGCTGCAAATAATCCGCTGCAAATCCGTCACAACTAATTCTATCTAAACTGGCATCCTTATTGTTTTTTTTTCATTCACTCTCGTTCTATTCTGCTATCGTTCCCTCGAGCTTCAACGACCCCTCTTGTGCCATCGTTTCCTTCGACTACTTTTAAACTATTCTCGGAGATGGCATGCATTAAGAATCATCTCCCATAAATAGTGCCTAACTGTTGTATGCAAAAATATTTATGATGGAGATAGAGTGTTTAATATCTTAGTTTTGTACAAAGATACAACAAGCATATATAAAAGAAGAGTTGTAAAGGACCAATGATTTTAAATAAAAACCCCAAGGATAAAAATCATGAGTTATATTATTGGTTACAAATGATGTCCTTGTGTGCAATTGGAGAAAGTATTAATAATACATAGTAGACATGTTTTGTTTGATAGCTCTCCCTTAAAGAGAGGATATTATAGAAAAAGAAGTTCAATGCAGTTTTGATATTGATGGTAGGAGTCAAATTTAGTATCTAAGGCATGCATTGGCCTTATCGGCGATAGTGTAAGCATGCGAAAATGGTCAAGAGACTATAGTTAGATGATGACCAAAATAAAAAAATAGCACGCATAAAATCATAGGCAGAAGATGGTGTTCGGCAGACTATAGTTGCAACATTAGTTGGAAGATTGTTGCCAAGCAACATTGGTTAAGAGCCCAGAATTGGGCCATGATGATCGATTAATTGTAGTCAAAAAATTATGGTCGAAGGACTATAGATGATTAGATGTGGTTGGAGGATTGTAATCAAGTGATACTGATTAGATGATCATAATCAAACGATTTTAATCATAGGACCATAGTTAGGCAATAATAGTCAAGTGTTGGTCGTGATACCATTGTCAAGAGATAGTAATTAGAAGGCTGTATTTTGGTGATGCTATAGAGAGACTACAATCAAGAGAAGGTGGTTGAAGGACTATAGTTGGGTGATGGTGATCGAATGGTTATAGTCATGTGATGATATAATGGTTACAGGACTATAGTAAGGTAACAATGGTCAGAGGATCATCTAGGGTGAAGGTGGTTAGAGGATAGTAGTTGAGCGATGATGGTTAAAGGATCTTGGCGACATCAATCGAATTAAGGGCCATAATTGAGTGAAAGTAGTCAAATGGTTGTAGTCATGTGATGATATTTAGAGATCTATAGTTTAATGATGGTGTTCGGAGGGCAATAGTCAGGCAACATTGGTTAGATGGTTATAGTCGGGCGATGATAATTAGATGACTATATTCATAAAACAGTGATGAGAGGGTCATAAATCATAGTATAGTTATGAGAGGATCATTGTTAGATGATGGTAATTAGAGGATTCTAGTTGGGCAACGATGCTTGAAGAACCATAATTGATCAATGGTGCTCAAAGTATCGTAGCCAAGAGATGGTGCTCGAAGATACATTTTGGGAAATAATGATTATAGAGTCATAATATGGTGAATGTACTCGGAGGGACGTAGTTGGGTGATAGTGGCTGGAGGATTATAGTCGTAGGATAGTTGTTAGAGGGTTGTAGTCAGACAATGGTAGATGGAGGTCTATAATTAGGTGAATATGGTCGAAGGATTGTAGTCAAGGGTTAATAGTTAGAAGACTATAGTCAAGTAATTGTTAGGATACCATATTTAGCTGACGGTGGATAGAGAACTATGCTTGAGCCACAGTGGTTGGTGGATCATAATTGAGCAATGGTGGGTGAAGTATTGTAGTTGATCGATGGTGGTTGGAATGTTATATAGTCAAGCAATCATGGTTGAAGAATCTTAGTCATGTGGTAGCCCGATGGAGGCAATCATAGTCATGCAGTGATCCAACGATGGTGGTTCGACTGCAATAATTGAGTGATAGTCTGATGGCGACGATACAGAGGTGTTTTAACGGTGGTTGTTTGATAGCAGCAATTGAGGAATTTTTCAATGGTTGTTGTTTGATGATGGTCTGATAGCAATAGCCAAATGGTGGTCGAATAGTAGTGATATAGCGTTGGTCCAACAACAATGATCGGACAATGGTCTAATAGTGACAGTCATGTGATGTTTCAAAGAAAGGGTTCTGGCTATGTTAGTAGAACAATTTTTGGATAGTAGTCTGATGGTGATCTAATAGCAACAATATTATAGTAGTCTGATGGTAGAGGTAGGTATGGGGTCTAACAACATTGATCAAACGATGGTCCAACAATGGTGATTGAGTAGTTTTCTGATGATGAACATCAGGCAGTGGTCCGATCGACAACAGTGATCAGATAATTTTTCAATGGTAGAGGTCAAGGACGTGATATGATAATGGCAGTTAGATGCTTTTCTTATGATGTCGATGGTTGAGTAGAGCTTTGGGGTTCTTTAAACCCTCGAGCTCTCTACAAACTTATATCCCTATTCCTCTTTTCGTGTAGAAAGTTTGGCTTGATTATGGTTTTTTAAGTGTGGTACTCTTCATAATTTTTAGCTTTTAGGTAACTTCAACATATTAGAATTTAGCGATAATTGGCTCGTTGGATTTATCTCGTCAAGGCACTTGATTGACTATAAAAATGTAAAAATTGTAGATCATTTAGACTTTGTTTGAGGCAATTTTCTTATTTCTTCATAAAATGATTTTTTAGTACAAAAATTTCTAGTTCAAAATATTTTTACACTAAAAGACTGCTTTAGCAAGCAGTAACAAAAATGTCCCAAATGCAACCTTAGTCTCTAAATTAAAGTCAAGTTATCTAATTACACTAACTCCATGTTTTGAGCTCATTTAGACTCAAATAAGATTATTTTTGGCCTAGTTGGATTCTTCTCATTAAGACGTTCGATGTGACTATAAATTTCCTAAAATTAAAGTTCAAATGACCCTAAATTTAAATTTGAAAATTAACTATTTCAATGTGCATCAAAATGCGTGCATGATCAACTGAATTTTCTAGCGACACGCCTCATCTAGTTTTTACAGCTAATTTTTTTCTTTTTTCCTATAGTTTCACAAGAATTGTATATAAAAATCACAGAACAAGCAGAGAAAGACTATTTATTTTCGTATTTCTTTGAGAGGAGAAAATTTTATAATCATTTAAATTTTATTTGAAACAATTTTTTGACAATTTTAGTGATAAGAAAAATACAATTTTTACTTTTTTTTTTTTAATTTTTTTTTTGAAAAGTAGCTGAGAAAGAGCTTCTAAAAGCAAAATTAGAAAAACTAAGGCTTCGTTTGGGACGGTAATTTTATTGTTTTATAAAGCAGATTTTTAGTAAAAAATTAAAATTTTTGTACTATAAAGTTGTTTTAAGAAGCAGTAAGAAAGCCGTCCCAAAGCTTCTTTTGGTATTGCTTTCTTAATGCTTCTTAAGGCATCTTTCTAATAAAAAAAAGTTATTTTAAGAAGCAATAAGAAAGTCATCCCAAACGAAGCCTAAATATGCCTCAAATAAAATGTTAAAACATTTAACAAATCGTGAACTTAATCAAATTAAAATTTGATTAATCAAAACAACAGAATTTAAAAACCCAAAAATTATTTTAATAAGCCCCAACGAACATAAAAAAAAAGTACACAAATAAAAAATTAAAAAAAACAATTTTATTGTATTTAAATGGAGAAAAAAACAACCAATGAACCAATACAAGAAAAAATTAAAGGTGAAAATCTTAGATCTGAAAAAAAATAATAGCATTACTTAGCATAATTAATTAGAAATGAATAGACGAGCATTTCTAATTATAAAAGATAATGATTTGATTATAGCGCTAATTAAGTAATTAGGCCATGAAAGATAATATACCTCTCCGATGGCTCCTCCTCTCGCGTCGCCGCTCTCGCTCTCTGCGGTGCAGAAGAACGGATTTATAAGCATATGCAGAGGAGTAAATACGTGTAACGTGAAGAACGGATTTCAGGGTGGTGACATTTGTATAAGTACACCCGCATAGACTTTACAATACGGTTAGTAGTTTTTTTTTTCTTTTTTAATTCAGCAAAAATATGTCATTATCTTACTATTTAAGGCATATTTATCCATGCAAATTAAAAGGATGGAGACACTTTATTTTGCCTCTGTATAAGCTCAGCGATTAGTGATAAATCTTATGTGATTAAAATTTTATTTGGAATAACTTCCTTACTGTTTTCTAAATTTAATTTTTTATAAACTTTTTATCAATATAATAAAAATCTTATGTGCTTATACAGAGGCAAAATAATTTCTAAATTTATTTTTTTATAAACTTTTTCCCAAACGAGATTATTTATTCTGTGCGGATGTCGAACACCATCCGGAAACCAATCAGAAAGCGCTACGTCACTCTTTCGTTGGGTACCACGACTCGATATTGCTTAGTACGGTAGCTCGGTACAGCTGGCGTGGCACATTCTGGTTGTTTCAGGATGGCGTTCTGCGTCTGGCCTCTGGACAAAATAATTTCTCCCCAAACAAAGCCTAAATATTGGTTGGCTAAGTTTTGTTTGTCAAAAAAAAAATGGTAAACTCATTAAATTTTTTATCACACTTCAAACTGCTTTTAGATTAGTACAATATATGAAGATTATGAGCAATTTATATTACACTAATTTCAATTTTTTTCTAAAAATGTTATAACTCATCGTCATAGTTTTTTTGAATTCTACTACATAGTTTCTCTTCTTTGATTTGAGATATTTTATTGGATATATTTATGTTAGATCAAAAATTTTATATGATTTTTTAATTTTTATGATTTGCTTCTCTGTATCTTGATTTCGAATTTTTTTTTTTTTTTGAACGAGGGTATCTATCCGCTACCAATCTAAAGGGAGTTCTTGGCGGCGTAACTAATCCCTCAACGAAATCTAGCGATGTCACCCACCGGCATCAGTCCCACACTTGTTTTACCCCACTGAAGAGGGGAGGCCGTAGTAGAAGAGATTCGAACCTGGGATGGGGGATTCCCAACCGTACTCACCCACCAATCATTCTAAGCCTCGGAGCGTTGATTTTTATTTTTGGACTATCTCCTTTGCTTCTTCCTAAAGTGGTTGGAATTTTAAGATTTACTTGAATTTCTTAATTTTTTTGTGACAAATGTATGCATGTAATTATATTTATATTGTTAGGAAATAAATGTAATAAATTGATTTGTCACTATTAGGTAGTTAGGTCTATAGGCACTATTTTGTGTAATTTTCTTTATTTAATTGGCTTTTAAACTCAGATAACCATACGTGCTGGGATATAGACTAAATATTCATATAATAATAAGATATGAATTAAATGCAAACGGTAATGGAGTCACTCTCTCTCTCTCTCTCCTAAAATAATACATAGAATTTTCAACTTCATATAATTCCCAATTCCTTCTCTCCCATTACATCAAACTTCAACTTGCCTAATTATGATTTAATATATTTTTTATAGATTTTTTTATATTTTTTTTTATGATAACTTCGAAATTTTAGTAAGGTCATCTCCAACCGAACGCCAAACGAGCGTATGGCGTCGTTCAGTCCCTCCAACCAAACGCCAAATTTCCTGTCATTTCCTTGCAGGTGAGAACAGTGCGACGACAATATTGGCGTCACACTGTCACACAAAAGAAGAAGGATCGTTAACTTCCCAGAAACACATAAAATGGTGTTCAATTGGAGCAGCATCACAACATTTTGAAGTTTTGCGTTATTTTGCCGTGAAAAAATGAAGTTCTCCATTGGAGATGCCCTAAGAAAATGGTTGAGACCCTATTTTTAAAGTCCATTAAGAAAAATAAATGATGGCTCCAATCTTTTATTATAAGTGGTTCTTGATGGTTGGGGTGCTTATAGAGAGATAAATAATGGCTCCACTCTTTAGAATATTACTTTTTGCATGTTCAGAGATGCCATTATTTTGCCTTAGCAAGCATTAAATCAAATTGGAAAGATATCTATGACTTACAATAAATTCTCCTCAGATTGGAAAGGTAATTTTTTACTACTTTATTTGTTTAGATGATCAAAATGATTTAATCTTCAATTAGAACAACTTTCTTACTGCTATGCTTGTCAAAGCGCTATCACAATTTCTATATGTTTATTATTCTTTCATTGTTTTAAAAAATATATATATTATGAAGTTATTTTCTACAATAATTTTGAAAAAAAAAAATTATGATAATTTTATAAAATAATAAGAAACTATCCCGAATGAAACCTTAGCCTTTAAAATAAAGTCAATAATTTTCTTTGTTCCTCACTTTCTCTTGATTCCTATGGCTCATTTGCCATGATTTTCATCAAGTGTATTAGAAAAGGCTATAATCCATCTTGTTATTCTCTCTCTCTCTCTCTCTCTCTCTCTCTCTTTATATATATATATATCCAGACGGTCCTGAGGTGAATCAGAACGCGTCACATCATCTGATACATATCACCAATACACAGCAAAAAAAATGATGTGGCGAATACTAATTCCCTTCAGATAACGTCCGGTGACTGCACAGAATAATTTCTTTAGAGTGTGTGTGGGGACAGAGAATGGGATAAGCCTACGCAATGCAATCTATATAAGATTTTTATTCCTCACAAAGAGGATGATGAACAGTTCTGATGATATGGGCCAGGAGACAGCCATCATGTTATGTATATTGTAGCATAGATTTGAATGCAATTTGACTTCCATAATGTCTTTCATGTTCATTTATTGCTCTTCATGTACATAGATTATTAAACATGTCAATAACAGGTCCACTTGCACACAATAAAGTATTCATGCAGTGCAAAATAATCAAAATGATAATTCTTAATACAAAGCAGGATAATTCTTTATACTGAAATAAAATAGAATAATTACACACATACATGCAGGATAGAGTTGAAATGGCAATGAAGAAATCATCGTCAACAATGGCTTCTGGTTGCTCATTGATGTCCTCTCGAAGGCCATTGGATTACAAAAACATCTGGAGCTTCTGTGTTAAACTGGTTTTTGTTCATCAGGATTCTGAAAGAGGCTTCCGAGCCAGGAAGAAGTACATAGGGGTGAAGATCTCCATCCTGAACAAATAAGCACACAATTAATTGAAAGAAATGGATCTGGGAACAAAGTTTTTTTGGGCTCATATTCTAAATATTTGGGGTTGGTTTTGTAAATTATTATTCTGCATTTGTTTCAATTAAGATTTCGTTTGGGACTGCTTTCTTCTTGCTTTCTAAAATAAATTTTTAGTATAAAAAATTTTTTGGATTTAAAATTTGAATTGGCTTCTAGGCTAGAAGTGGTATTAGAGATAGTGTTGATTTGCAATGGTGAAAGGCAGCAAAGAATCTACGACCAACGACAAGCAAAGCCTAGATGCTCCATGGGTTGCTCAATCTAATCTAGTGTAGGGTTACTTTTCATTCCTCCAACTTTTCAACCACTTTTAGAAATTTTCATTGTCCTACCTTATTATGTATTTTGACAATATGGTAGATGGCAAATATATTGTGTTAGTGGGCCTATGAGCTTGCGATTGCTTTGTTTTAAAAAAGGATAGTTAATTCTTTTCTTATAAGAAAGTGGTATAAAAAACATGTTTTTTTCACTTGAATAGCTCCGCCAGAAAGCAATGATAATAAGGCATTCTCCAACCGAACTCCAAAAGCATGAATAGCGTTGCTCACGAGCTCCAACCGAACGGGAAAACTTCCGGTATTTGGTTGTGGGTGAACAGTGCGATGCCAATATTGGCATTGCACTGTTCACCTGCGTTATTTTTCTGTCTCTACTGAATTTGTCGAAGAAACGCGTGAAAGAGAAGAAAGACAATTACCTTTTGCAAGGGGTGCAAAATGGAGTTCGATTGGAGATGAATCACGCCATTTTTTAATTTCACTGCATTTTGGAGTGAAAAAAGGGATTTTCGGTTGGAGATGCCCTAATCATTAAATAGAACATTGCATGATGTTAAAATTGTCTAAGTTTATATTTCATTATCACATTTTTAACAAAATTTAATATTTTATCCTCACATTCCTCTTATATAATGATTCATCAAAAAAAAAATTTTATTTAGCCATATTCACCTTAACATTTTTATTTCTAGCAAGTCTTTAGCAACCTTCTCTAAGAATCACAAGCCAATAGTTTTAAACAAACCTTCCACCAGCTACCAGACCTTCTGCAGCCTTTTCCAAGAATGATGAAACTCTCGTACTTCCTGTCGGAGCAAGTCGCACAAATTCTAGCACCCGAACCTGAAAAGCCAAAAAAATAATGAAACTTACCATCAGAATAACATTCTCACCATTGTTCGGTTGATTTCAATCCCCGTAAAAAGCAAAAGCGGAGAGTGTTGATGTTTTACATTCCAGAAAAAGTATATTCTCACCATTGTTCTTGTGATAAAACGTCCAAAAGCAGTCAAGCGGAAGCTACTTAATGAAAAATGTCTGGTATCCAAAGGCAAATACCATGGTACAGGTGAATCAGCCGCAAAATCCTTCTTCCAAATAACCTTCAATATCAAGTTACTGGTTAATATCCACAACTTCTCCAATTGCCATTGTTATAGTCTAAAATTTACCTCAAATCCAGCTTTTTGTAAGGCATCAAGGCATTGATATGTCGACCTTATGTCAGGAAGCCCACCACCAACCTCAATATCAGCCTTTATGTTTTTATGGATCTGATTGTTGGGATCATAATGATCAGTCATGCACCATTCATAAGCAGCAAAGCACTGCCCGGGCTTCAATACCCTGTAAATCTCCTTATAGCATCCAAGCTAGTCAAGAACAAAAAACACATAAAGTATCAATCTCCAATGCAGTAATAAAGCATGTTCAAAAGGATAGATTGGAGGAGACGATTCAAAGCTTCTAAGTGATATACAGAATCAGGGGCATGGCAGGTTGATTCTATAGCATATATAGCATCGAAAGTATTGTCAGGGAAAGGCATCTTCATAAAGTCAGCCTGCATAAGTTGAGAACAAAACTTAGAAACTCATGAAAATTTTTGGTTAATTAATCAACAAATTACGTAGTGGCTAATAAAGATATCAGAAACATGACAAAATAGCATGAAAATTTTATCAGAGGCGTGGTCATCGATCTTCAGCCATGATCGCGCCGATATATTTTTGAGTCCTCATATGTACTTGTTTTATTTATTTGTTTTTATACTTGTTTTAGTTGTATTTCCTTTTTTTACCCCTTACTTAAGGGTGGCCATGTGTAAGCCCAAAGGGTTAAGTCGTCTTTTTATTTTCCCATCCATTGTATGAGGCTATATATATCCCTTATGTTTTCTTTTGAAGGTTAATGAATGAATTATAAAATTTTTTGCATATTGAGTTCTTATGAGAACTTGAGAGGGTTTGGAGAGAAATCCCGTGGAGAGGGAAGAGAATCACCCACAAACCTTAGAAATCCGGGTTCTTGGCTAGTTTCTTCATAATTTTCTTTATCTCCTTCTCCTTCGCTTTCCTTTCTATCACTCGGTCCACCTACAACCTAAGCCGCCAGCCACCTTTTAAACCTCTACCTCCGGCCAACCACAAGCCCACCACTCCTTAGCTTTGGGCTAACACCCCTAGCTCTCCACCCCCATCCGACCCCCATCTCCCCTCACCCAAAACTGGCACTCAAGCGACCCAAGCCACCCCCCCTAGGAATTCCCCCATCAAGGCTAGTATTCAAGCCCTTCCAACTTGGTCTTTCTAAGATAGGAAACCAATTTAATTCATATTCAAATTTAATTTGAATTGTTTCCTAAATTACAAAATTCTTTTTTTGGAAAATTTCCAAAATTAAATCCTATTTGAATTTAAAAACAATTGGATTTAATTACACCTTCCAAAATATCCAAGACCAAAACAAGCAACCTTTAAATGCATCTCCCTAAATCCCTCCTCCCTATTGAAACCTCCTCCGACCCCCTCTCTCTCTCTATGCCCCCCCCCCCGTAATTCCTTTGAATTTCTTTCCAAATTACTAACTCCTCTCTTTGGGAAGATTTCAACCCCCCACCTCTCTCCTACGCCCCCCCCCCCCCCTCTCCTCTTTTAATTCTTTCCAAATTTAAGAATTAATTAGATGAAATAAATTCCCCTCCATCCTCCCAAAATATATACCTATTTCTTCCATAAGCCCCCTTCATTGGGTTGGCCACCTCTCTCCCTCTTCTCCACTTAAACCCTTGAGAGAAACTTTTTTCTCTCAAGAGGAGTCTTTAAGGGAAGCAAAGACCGTCGTCTCCAACACTTCAACCCTACAGAATCGATAAATGGCCGATCCAGATCTTGACTCCGGATTCGTTTACAACAAGCAAGGAAACATCGACATTCTTCAGTCAACATTCTTCGACGTCAACCTGGAAATAGACAATTTCGCCGAAGAATACCTAGATCGTATCATCTTCACCTTGTCCGAAGCAATCGAAGAGTAGCTTGCCAATGTTCAGTGTCAAATCACTTCTGATCCTTGACAAGGGTTAACTTTTTCCCCTATTCAAATTATCTTCTAATCCTCTGCTCTTGTAGGTGGTGCTTCAAGCACAAGGACTCATGCCAAGCTCTCTACCTTCACTTAGTAAACATCATATTTGAGTTTTGATTTTCTATATTTGTAATCTATTTGTTAACTTAAGGATTCTATTGAATAACTACTTAATTTGCATCGGTTCAAATTCTAATTATTTTGATGATTCTAGTTCTTAGCATGTGATTTGGCCTAAGTGAAGCCACCCCTCTTTTGTTTGCTATTATCGTTTAGTAACTAATGTTCTTAATTATTAATTTCTCTTATTCGAAACGTGCAAGTTCTTATCGCATTCATTTAAATCATACTTAGTCCTGCATCTTCTGGTATCATAGCATGGTTGCATTTAGATGCATGATAGAAAAATTTTATTACATATTTTAGCATCTAAATCGCATCCTGCATAAATTATTTATTTGCATATTACTTTCTTTTATTTCTGCATAAGTCTGAGTGACCCTAGATATTAGGATGGACCCTAAACAATTTCACCGGACTTTAGACTTGTTGGTAGGTCAAATGAACACCATTAGCCAGCAACTCAAGGAAAACCAGGCTAACATCGCTGAACTCCGTAGAACTACCACTGACCGATTTGACACCTTAGATCGAGGTAGGAACCACCAGACTCCTTAGAACTAAAAATTCAAATTTTAATTTTTGAACTAAAAAGTTGCTTTAAGTATCAGTAAGAAAGCCGTCCCAAACGAAACCTTAGAAAGACATATATTAGACGACATAGCAAGATCATACATTATGGAGAAGGCATTCAAATGGACAGGCAATTGCTTCAGCGATCAAAAGTGAACACAAAGAAGAATAATAAAAGATTAAAATGTACCTTGACGAAATTGCAAGAATCGCCTAGTCCAGCTAAGCGGTTTAGCTCCTGAAAATCAGCAAGAGAAGATTATTCTCTTAAATTACGGATCAAATCACTCTCAATGAAAAAAAAAAGTGAATAAACTCAAAAATTAAACAGGTATAAATTATTGTAGTTAAACTGTCATTTTGAGCGATGTATGATGAGAGCTGCATAAACTACATTGAAGAGAATCCAGTATCAAAATATACTTACAGTTCCCCTGGTTATTTGGTATTCATTGTTGTTCAACCCAGTGATGGACACTAAACTGCAATTAGTCCAACAGCAAGATTCTTATTACTATAACCATACTTTCTTTTGATCAACTAGAAGATATCACACAAATAACGCTTGTTGAAGCAATATTTGAAATGGAATATGAATGCATAAGGCTGCTGTTTGGATGGAAGGCAAGGGCTACAGTCTAGTTTCAAATTTCACAAAAATTGTCAAGTTTAAGCGTATGTAAATTTCCCTTTAAAAAATTGATCAACAAAACTTTCAAACAGTAATGAATACTTGCTTTCAACAAAGCAAACTGTAACTTGGAAACCCTCAAATCTCACAAGTTTATTCATATCATGCATTTTTCATATGATACCTAAAGGAACTATATGCAGTATTAAAAATATGATTATAGAATCAAATGATAACAAAATCATACTAAAAATAGGTAAATATCACCTAGATCTATGATACTTAGACCACATTTCACCAAGGTTCACATTTTTGAAAACCTGCAGAAAGGTCACTAGCGTCTTTCGAGATTTCACTATGGTCCCCTTAATTTCCATTCTTCAATATTATCCTTTGTGCCTAACACTGTCACGAATTTGCTATTAGATTCTATTATATAACTCGACACATGATATTTTTTAAGCATTGGATGATTCTGAAGACAATATCGCCCTTCCCCTCTTCGATAGGTGAAATTATTATGTGGGGACGGCCGAACGCCATCCGGAGAGACAAACCAGAATGTGGCACGTCACCCCCTACTCAGTACCCGGCTCGGTAGTGCGGCTCGGTACCGCTGACGTGGCACATTCTGGATGGTCTCCGGACAGTGAACCGCGTTCGGCGTCCGCACAAAATAATCTCTCCTTCGATAGACAGAGGTAGCTGACGTTGAATGGATCACACTAGGTGGGATGGACATGGTTGAGGAGGCTTACAGGAGGGCTTCAACATATAGGACCTTTCATGGAAGTGAAGCTAACTATAGCGGAGGAAATGGAGAAGGACAAAGAAGAAAGTAGGGTTGCAATCAATGAGCTACTCTCCAATAATGTTCTAGTCTGTGTAAAGGAGCACATCAAGAACAAATTAACAATCAACTTACTGGTGGTGATTTCAAGGATTTTACCACCAACAAACCTTCTGTAATTTAATAATACCCATGATTCATCTACAACAAAGAAGGCCGGTCTAGGTAGGATTCTTTATTCACTTGAAAATCTATAAATAAGGACAGTAACATAGGGCACCTAAGAGGGACATTTTAGATATTCTGACTCTAACTGATGGAATGATTATGGTGAGGATCTAGGTGCAACCAAAGCATAAGTTGAAAAACCTATGCAGAGATTTTTCAAAAATGTAACTATGGTTTAAACCTTAAAAACCTAGGTGATATTTACCATTTATAAATTTTTAAATAAAAAGTAAAAGAATTAGATAAGTAAAGCAAATAAAGAAAAAAATGTATTTCCTGAATCGAGAAAGTTCCCTCAGAGGACCACCAATTCCACTTCCAACATCTAATACCTATATCATCCAAAGAGAGAAAAGTTGCATCAGTAAGCCATAGTATTGAGTAATTCAAATAACATAATAGCACGCATGGATAATTGTTGCATGTAATACCTTCATTCCACTTTTGAGGGCTAGCTGAAGGGCAAGAAAGTGCTCATAACGTCTGATGCTTGCCTTTAATGATTCACCTTTCCATCTTCACATAGAAACTATTTAGTATACTCATTTAGCTCCACACAGGAAAATGCAACTAGTACTCTTTTAGCCTTACAACGATAAATAGAATAAATTACATTTATTCCTTGAGGTATAAGATTCATTTCACACAAGTTCACATGTTCTTAAAATGTTTCACCAAGGTTGTAGCATCATACTCTGATCTCACCTAGGTCTCTCAACCTAATTTTCCAAATTTCACAAAGCTCCATGATGACCAGTATCATTACATTTAACTGTTGAACAAAATCAAGTGAATCCAGATAGTCCAAAAAAACTCAGACTAGCGAACCCCTTTGGGTGCATGGCTTACAGAGAGAGAAGCAGAAGAGAAAGGTGACAAGGGAGGAGAGAGAGAGAGAGGTGAAGGGAAAAAAGTGACCAAAGTTAATCAATCCTCCATCCATTTTAGGATGGATTCATTCTAGAAGAGAGAGAGAGAGAGGGAGGAGAGATTGTGTGTGTGAGCGAGGGAGGAGGGATTTTGGTGGTAGAGAGAGAGAGAGAGAGGTTTTGATGATATAATGCCACCATAATGTTGACCTTATTTTTGCCCTAACTCTTGGGTCAAAGGGTTTGACTTAGTCAAATTGACCAAGCTAGACCCCAAGACAGCTTCTCTTGCATTCAGTAGGTCAAGCCAAGTCTATTGAGTCCAAACCCAAGCCCTGAATCAACCTGGGTTGACCCAAATTGACCCAAACCCCCTTTTCTTGATTTCAGATCAAATCCAGAGCTCCTCAAGCTTAAGATCTAACCTCCTTTTGACTCAGGGGGTCAGACCCAACCCATTGGGCCCTGACTCATGTCCTGGGTCAACCTGGTTGACCTGATCAACCCATGTTTACCCAATTAACATGCATGGGTCAAATCAAATTCAAATCAGCTCCATGCCCTATCCTTTGCTCAATCCATTCATCCCTTGGGTCAAATTGACTAAGTTCATCAAGCCAGGTTTTTACTTGGTCAACTCAAGTTTTCTCCAGTTAAATTTGACCTAATTTGGTCAAATTGGGCCATTTAATGCATTCAAATCATTACCTAATGATCCCTAGAGCCAAATCCCATGCTAATCTCCTCCCAACCCTCCTAATTAACCCTAGTGATGATCTAAGCCATCCATATAGGGCTTGGGTCTATAAATATCACATTTAGGGTTCCAAGGAGGGGACTCTTGCTTTTAGTCTCTCCTTAGTGGCTCTCAACCCGAGATTTCTCATGTGTGAGATCCCCTAGCATCTCTCTACCTTCTTCCACTCAAACCCACCGCCAAACCCCCGCCTGCGGCGAGCTTTTCGACGAACCGAGGCCAAAAAACATCTAAGATGATTTCCCGACGATCTATCGCTCATTTGATCACACCTTCAACTAGGGAATTATACGAGAATAATCTACAAGCTCAACCGTATAAAGATCTAGAAGATCCAATGCTGAAATTTCTCTAAAACCTTAAACCTAGGTCACAACACTTAGATTTAAAAAACTTTTTAATCACCGAATTTTAGAATGAGGTTTTTGCTCCCCATAGATGCTCTTCAATATCAATACCTAAGTTCAAAATTTCATCAAATTTTATTGAGCCATTTGCGAGAACGAGGGCTTTGTTTGTTTAGGGTTTCGGTCAACCGCTCGTGTGCGTTGCATTGCCCCTAGACCATTGATTGCTTGATCAATGGTCCGGATCCAGTCTCTCCGCCATCTCGTTTGACCGCGGGATTGATCTAATGGACACGCCTTCGATTCAGCGAGATCTGAGCCGCTCATTCCATACCACGGGCAATCCAACGGCCGCAGCGGGATGCTGACGCAGATTAGTGAAACCACGTGGGTCCCGCCGCCGTTTCAATCACCTGGCAATGATTGCGCGGCGGCGTAATAATTGCCAATCATTGGCCATCGCCGCCGCTCACGATTTTTGGAGCAAATTGGGAGCCGCCACGTGGTCTGACCTCCACCGCCTCTCTTATTATTATTATTATTTTTAAATCTTTTTTAAGTGTTTTTTTAACTTTTTTTAACTAATTATAATAAATTTGACTATTTAATTATTATAATTAATAGCCTAATAATTTTAAAATTAAAAATTTTTTTTTGAAATTATTTTGAAATCTCGATCGGGTGACAGGTATATCTCTCCTATATTTACATATGTGTTTGCATTAATTTTTTTTAATTAATCTACTTTTAAATCTATATATTTAATTAATGTGTATTTTTTAAATTTTTTTAAAATTATACATATTATTAAACCCTTTAATTTTAAGAGATCTACACTTTAAAATTTTAAACATAGGCTTTGCACATGAATAACATTCATGGGGGAATGATTAGTGAGTGTTTGAGTTACAATCATCCACTAATTACATCGATTAGCATGTTTAATTACTTATTTTACCATCTTTTGCATGTGTAAGACACACGACCACTTCGCTTAGGCCCTCCTAGATCTTAGAATTGATGAGTTTACTATTTTTATACATTTCCCTGCATGTTATCCTAAGGGTCAGTCCAAAACTTATTTTAAACTTATTCAACGTAGTGAAACCCTTAGGACAATAATTAAGGATCCGTCTAGTGAACTTAGAAAAATTCTATGAGCTAGGATAGATCTCTGATTGGCATGAAACTTTCAACACTTGAACTTAGTGACATCTTAAATCTCTCAAAATTTTCTAGGAATTTTTTAGGACCATTTAATAAATAAATCCTAATTTACCCATTAATTAGGCACCGATAACTTCAGAAAATTTTAATAAATCCATTTTAACTCAGAAAATTACCCATAATATCTTGAACTATTTAAAATTTAAACCTTAATCATAGATAATTATGGCCTATTAATTGGAATTTAATCTAAACCCTAATTTAACTTTAATTAAAATTCACCTTTTTGTATTAATTAAAAATTATTAAAAAATCCAAATTTTTTTCAAACACTTGGGAACATCTTTTTAGGTCATTTGTGACCTTTGGGAGTGATTCCAATCAGTTTGGAGTTGATTTGGATCAAAACCCCCTAAATATCCCTTATTAAGCAATTTTAATAATTCATTAATTGCCCGAACCTTCTAAAATTCATAATTTAGCCTAGAAAACTCAAAATCTAGAAAACTCAAAGCCTAACTACTACTTATGAGGCCTAATATTTAAATAAAATGCTAGAGCTCCCAAACCTAGCTCACTTTCAATAATGACCTTTTGGACCATTTTAGCCTAATACATAGGAGGATCCGAGACCTTCCAAAATTGACTAATGTAATTTAAACTTCAAAGATCACTATCCTAAATATTAAAATGGATCAACAAACTAAAATTAACTAAAATGAATCCTAATCCATTAATATTTGAACTTTAAATAAAATTTCTCCTTTTAGCCTCCAATAAACTCTAACTTTAAGCAACTTGAGCTACCCTACATAGGACATATCCAAAGCCACATAAGCCTATTACACACACATAGAGTTGTTTGCTAGGTTACCACTTCTAGTTCTAAGATTATGGCCGGTGCTTTTCTTTCTTTTTTATTCTCTATGATGTGATTTTTATTGCATGTGGCATGTGTGATTGCTTGATTTATTTTGGTTTGACTTGTTATGATTGTTGTGATGTTTTATTACTACATTATCTGCTTATGATGTGATTTGTGTGTTAGATTGCCCATGGGCTTGGGACGCTTTTGATACTAATCTAGTCTTATATAGGTGGCGACGCTCATAGAGCGCTAATAAAGAGGGGGCAATAATCATTAAGCTTTAAAATCAATTTTGCTTCCGGCATGCACTCCAGAAATTACTAAAGTCTCATCCCTAAATTAAAAAGAGCGTGGCCAAACGTGTTTATTTTTCTGCACCATTATTAACTGCTTGGGATGTTATGTATTATTATTTGTAATTTCTATTAGGATAATCATACAGGACTTTAAGTCTAGATTTTATTTTTCAAATGTAATATAATTTGTATTCATATCAAGTTGTGAAGGTCTTCAAAGGCATGATATTTTAAAAGTTAGGTACCCAAAGAGAGAAAGAAAGGCCCCTATCGGGGAGTTTCTTTCTCATTTGGATACCCTGTTGGAGGACGAACCAAAGGAGGACGATCCAAAAGAAGGTGATCCGAAGGAAGGCGATCCGGAGGAAGACTCCATTTGAAGATGGAGACTTAAAGATGAAATGTCTTGCATTTAAGACTTACATCATTCAGTAGGATTAAAATCCAGATTATTATCGGTGGAGCCTGGTCACCATTACTTTTTTGCATACCATGGGTTGTACTTATATGGCACTTGCCGTGGACTTTCTTTTCTTACTTTTTCTATGAATTTATATTGATGTGTTTATATCGATTACGCAGTAGAAATTGCATATTTTTTTCTAGATTTCTTTTATTGTATGTGTATGGCCAGATTCACTATAGAAAAAACGTGCATTACCGGCGGACCAAATTCATCAGAAAATGCCCAAAATCCGTCAGAAATTATAATTTCCGATGGATTTCTGACAGATTTGTTTTTGACGTTAAAACGCGTGTCGGAAAAATTCTACCGACACAAAAAAAAATCCGTCGAAAAATATTTCCGGCCAATTTCCAGTGGAAAAAATGTCAAAAATTTATCCAACATATATACTCCGCCAGAAAAAAAAAATGAAAAAAAAAATTATAACACACCGCCCCCGCCCAACAGCCCACAACCCCCGGCATCCTACCTGCCCAACCCCTCTCCCCCAGCAGGCCCGGTCCTATAGACCCAGGCGACCCACTCGATTCACCTAGCCAACTCAAACCCACGACCCATCTCCAATCGGCACATGACCCACCCGCAAACTTGCGCCAAGCGGGATTCGAACCTTGCCTGCCTCCCCTTACGCGCGCGACAAACCGTCCTTACCACCATGCCAATATTGCAAAACTGTTAAAGAAAATGAGTCTTTTTAATTTAAATTATAATGATAGAATATTAAATTTTTAATTATTAATATATTTAAATAATAAACTAAATAAAATATAAACTTAATAAAATATTAAATAATTATAATAATTTATAAAAGCTTAGTTATTTTAATTTAAATTATATTTTATCTTAAATTAATTTAGATCAAAATAATTATTATATTTAATTTAACAATAAATTTAATAATAATCATTTTTCTAAATTTTTAAATATACTTAAATAAATTTTTAATTTGTCTAATACTAAATTTTTAAAATTTTTAAATTGATTTTCTAATAATCATTTTCAAGGAAATTTATAATTCCATCAAAAATCTACCGAAAATTCCACAAAAAAATTTGATGAAAAATCTGTCGATAATACAACCAAAAATTCTGTCGAAAAATCCGTCAGAAATTCGCTAGAAAATTTATCGGAAATGTTGACGGATTTTTTTTCTGCTGAAAAATCCGGCGAAAATCACGTTTTTCCTGTAGTGATTTTCACTATGCTCTTTAAGGATTAAAAAATATTTTTCTGCTCATAATTAAAATTTAATATTTTAGAAATTAAATAACTTAAAATCTAACGACCTAGGGAATAGCCGAAGCCTCTATGGTCGCATGCATATTAATGCATTCTCTTCTCCTTCTATAAGACACTTCCCCGCCTGTGGGTAGAGTCCGGATAATTTGGCCTGTGAGGAAGAAGTGTCAGACTTGGGGAAGTCTAGACTTTTTTAAAAAAATTATTTTCTATAAGCCTTTTTTAAATCCTAAGCATACATGATTTGGATCTTTTAACTAGCATGAATTGCATTATAAATCAATTAAATTAAAACTTTAATTATATTAGCTCTATAGGCATTCACCCTACATATGTTCAATGCAAATTAAAAAATTCTCTAGACGTCGGCTTTACTTCCAAAAAACTAAACTACTTACTAATCTTTCATAAAGATCGGATAACATAGATTTTACGCACCTAGGTGGTTAGTTGGCTTTTCTTTTCAGGCAGGACATAAGCCTAGATGCATTAGCTAGGACACGGGTGTTAGTGTTGGGTAGAACACTAAACCCACTTTAGATCTAGGGTTCAAGGCTACTACATTGGGTGTCTCGTAGTATGCATAAATTGTAGGTAAGTTCCTTTTCTTCATGGATTACAAATCATACCTATCTGTGTCACATGGATGACGCCACATCCATCCTTCCCCTCTGTATGCTCTGAGTGTATGATTCTCTTTCACTCGTTACTGTTATAGTCCCTCTGGATGTTAGTGTGAGATGTGCATATTGACTAAGCCACTTGCGCTTTTCTTTCCTTTTGAGTGGGATTTTCTAATCTCCCTTTTGTGCTAATCTCTTTTTGGGAAGAATAATATTATATCCTTAATTGAGAGTATTCTCAGGCTCTGGCCTGATATGTAATTAACCATGAGGGCTTGTGTCAGTGGGAAACATAATTTCATAATAAATAAAGCCCACTCGAGCTGATGTATCGGGTGGGGGAAGCCCGGTGACACTGATCAGATCATGCATATTATCACCCATTGGGATGAGCCAGCGAGAGACGCTATCCTTAATGATTGATCGTATGTAGGATCTAATCTGCCCTCCCATTTGCTTTCTTGTGAGGAGTGCAGAGGCTTACAATCTTCTCTATCCCTTAAGGTGGAGCGGTCGTATACCCTCTACACTCTGTTGCCATGTCGGTGTCCTTCCGGAGGTCCACACATAAAACTGGAAAAAGGTCAATCAATCTTAACCCACTTTGTAATAGAACAAACCAGGAAGGTGAGAGAGGGACAGAGGCAACTAGTTAACCTAACAAGAGTACCACCTTATCTTTTCAAAAGGTGATGAAAAAAACTATCCTATAAAGTGTGAGACTGAATGAAATGTTTTTAACATATAGACCTAATATTAATTGATCCCCTTGCCTTATATATATAATTTTTACCATAAACAAAAGGACTTATCTAACCTGGATGCAAAATGGAAAGATTCCCCCCAGCCAAATTCATAAAAGCTAGTTGCAAGATCATAGTATTTATTTACCTGAAATGCATAAAAATCATTAGTATATATAATTTGCAATAAAGACATCAACAAAATTTAATAAATATTAGCATTGACTCAAAAGTAAAATGCAATTTAATGAAGGCATTCATAAAGTATAACAACCAAAATGTTCTAGATTACACTTAAGATTGATATAACAATGCCAGCAAAAAAGAACATTCCTTTATATAAACATCCTAGTTATATCTCACAAGTCAATACATATAAGAACTATCAACTGATGTGTGTTGAACTCTTTTATTCTAAAGAGCTAGTGAAAATGCATATTTCATCTGCACGAGTACTTAAATATGAAAACTATCAGTCACAAGAGTTTTTCTAAATGTGATCTAACAAAAAATCATACAAATTGCAATAATAAGAGTTGGGCGAACTTTATCATTTAAAGGACAACAAAGATACCAACTTGCTTAGGATAATTAGTCCAACTGTTTCCACTCACCTGAACAAGAGACAAAAATTCTGATACAAAATTATATTAGACTACCACAACTATATGTAAAGGCTATAACACCAATATACCCAAAGTGGTGCACCGTTCATTCAAATTTTAAGGCCACTTTGACAGCAGCCAACATGAAGGTGAGGAAGTGAATAACCTAATTTCAAACCACCATTACCAAGAGAAAAAAAGAATTTAATCTAAGGAGTTGGAGCCTGACATGTCACCATATTACCAGTAACAGCTTAATCAAATAAATAGAACTCAAAAACTTTTGAGCAGAAGAATCTTTGGTGTAAATAAAAGAACCAGAATGACTCATCATTGTGAAAAAGTACGAGGCAACTCCTCATAGTGCATGTAACTCCAAAAGAAAAAAAAAAAGACAACATGAATGAGAACTTTTAAAAATTATAAGACAAACTTGCTTAGAATGATGAATGATTCGGAGCCATGGCAAGGATCTCTTACAAAATAGAAGGGGGATAAATGACATTCAACAAAGTTGATAATTCAATAAATGGGAACAAGGAGAAGAAAGAACTAAAGTAATATAAAGGGATGCTATTTCATTTCATTCATTGATGCCCTAATATAAAAATGCAGTAACTCCCGAGGTCACCTCTTGAAACTGACCTTGCCCTCAAGATTAGAGAAACGAGATAAAAAAAGAAAAAAAATAGTGACATCTAGATGGGAAATTGGGGTGGAGAATCTTGCAAGATGAAAACTACGAGACTGGAGGAAATGGTCGGGGATCTGGTGGTTGGAAGAATTGGCAACATAAATCACTGAGAATTTGGAATTAGGTAAAGGCATTTACAGAAGGAATGGAGGATGCAAATTTGGATAGCAAAGGAGATCAGAACTTGAAAGGATCGTTGGATCTAGCTCATGAATGGAAATTATGGAAGGAAGATTAAGAAATGTCGTTGAATTTGTTATGGTAATGGTGTTGTGGGAGATATAACGATAAGGTGATGGATTTGTGAATGCCAAAAGAGGGTGTTGGTCGTGAATCTAGATCTAAAATTGGCATATGAAATTGGGAAAGGATGATCATCAATAGGATCTAATTTTTTCTTCAATGGGAGGGATGGCTACATTGAAATTATGGGAGAGAATAATTGAGCATAAGTTACAACATGATACTAATGTTTCTTGTAATCATTTTGGATTCATGCTTGGTAGATCTCCTATGGAAGCTATACATTTGTTGAGAGGTTTGATGGATGAGAGTATAGAGAGAGTAAAGAGGATATAAATATGATATCTATTTATTTAAAAAAAAGAATATGATAAGGTTCTAAAAAAAAAGCTCCGGAGAGTTCTTTTCATGCTGATATTCAAGTCATTAAGGATATGTATATAGGAGATATTTCTCGTGTTCAAACAAAAGATAATTTGATTAAGTATTTTCCTTTTTAAATTTAAGGTTATTTAGCTAGCAATGCAAACGTGTCGAAGGAACCAAGGACAACAGTGAGTGTTCATGCACCAAAGCTAGAGAAATAATGGGGTAGTCTCACTACTCAATGAGAGCACCTTTATTGTTGGGACCACCAAAATACAACAAATATGTAGATAAAAATGACATATTTGAGGATATCAACAACTCCAAAGATTGGAATGGTGAGAAGAAAAAACCATATTAATAGAGAATGAGGCTATTTTATTTTATAAATTGATGCCTTAATACTCAATAATGGGGAGTATTTATAAAAATAGAACTCCTAAGGATGCATTAACTAACTAATATCCACTAATTACCGATGAAACACCATAATCCACAATGACTTGTTAATCTAATCCTAAACTATCGATTAGCATTAATAGCACTATCAATGAAAGCAAATCTTAATAAATATAAGTCAACTCGCCTATAACATGTAACTATTTTATAATTATATATATGAACATGATCAGTACTAATGAGTAATAGCATGCATGCAGAACTATGAAGTAATATCTATGGGTTCAATGTTTAGCACAATATTTATGAATGCGTGAAGTGACAAATATTAAAACAAAAAATTCTAAGTTGTCCCCCATATCTATACAAACGAAAACACTGTCATGACTTTTTCATGATCATCATTTGCCTCAACCCAACTATTTGAGGCATACTTACTAATCCATCTTTAACATTCATATATATAAAGAGAATATGACAATATTAGTACAAGTAGACTAGTTGCAATTAATGCATCAAATATCAATGGAAAGATATGGCCTATAATTAGCTTAAATATAGCATATAACTAGTGTTCATAATGACATTCAAGTAACTTAGAATACCAAAAACTCAAGTAAAATAAGAGAATAAGATTGAATGACTTGCCATATCACTATAATTAGTTTTCCTTGTTTCCTTGTCACCTCCAAATACGACATGGTATTTCTCATACCTAGAGCAACAAATCAAGCAATATATCATGAACAAGAGGTAAAAAAAAATCATGAACAAGAGGTGAAAATAAGAAAAATAGTCTTGGACCTTAGGATGTGATATCAATTTTAAAATTGAGAAGGAACATCAATAAAATGGAAAAGATGATATAATAAAATTTGAAACATCATTGGGTAAAAAGGTTTCGGGTTCATAATTCATTATCAACCAAAAGATTCATCATCAATGCAATATAAGGAAGATGATAAAAATGTTGAAAAAGTTATTCTCAATGTTAATCCACAATAGAGCCTTTTTATTTAATAGAGCAAGTTTTGCAAAATATCACGCTGCATTAGATAAATGATTTAATGCCAAATGAAGGAGGAAATAACCCAAAATTCTCATAGCTTAACAAATAAAAATAGAAAGCCCTTACATTGTCAAATGAAAGAGTAAAATCCTATAAAAATCATAGGGGAAAAAGGCTAGCAAGTTTCAAAAGAAAAATCATCGATAAGAACTTAAGCTGATAAGCTTTTCAAGCACATCTTAATTAAGGCTCAGAAAAAAAAAAAAGACTATTTGAATTTTTTTTCTCATATATTTAACTTTATTTTTAGTTTCCTCGTGAGACTCCATAAATGGACTCTTGTGTTTAATCCTAAAAAGAAACTCCAATTATTCCTGTTTGGCTATCTTTCCTCATTTGTCAATTCACTATGTAGATCATGTTGCTAGCTATTCTTTTGTTTCTACTTTTTTAAGACCATTTTTCATGGATGCTACTACATCTAAGCTCTATAGGTTAGCAGTTGCAAGAGTGTTGGTTGAAATCGATATCAAAACTTCTTTATTAAAGAGATTTGGATTAATGAGAAGACAATAGATACTAGCAAGAATTGTGTTTAAAAATATCATTGATTACTATACTTTAAGCTGTATACATGAACATAACCTCAAAAACACTCCATCTTGCAACCCAACTTCAAGAAGCCTTCCAAAATAACTATGGAGGTTTAACCAAATGATAAAAATTTTAATATGAATATGCAACCTAATGATCTTATTAACACACCTAGAAACAAAGAGGATGGCTCGATTAACTTTCCTTGGATGAAAACCAACATACTCATGTTAACACCCCATTAGAAACCATTATTGATGCAATAGTTGGCAATGTCTCTTTTGATAGTATTTATTTTATTTTTAAAAAGACATCATGTAGGTTGATGGCCAAGATTTGCTCTCCAATCCTAAGATTTTTATGGCTCTTTAAAATGAAGTTTTGCACATGCCCTTGTTATGAGGTGGTCAGATTGGGACATTAATATCCCCCTCCTTCCCTTACTAATCCTTTCGAGAAGAAAATGGGTCAAAACAAAATGGGGATTGAGATTGCATACTTTAATAATATATTCATAGTTGATAATAAGTTTTCCTATGATATTTATACTTCCTTGGTATATATCCTAATCAATCAATAGGATAATAAATCATTAATTAAATTATCTTTCATGAAGAGCTTAAAATTATGAATTTTGAAATAAACAACGATAAATCTATTGAGCTTATGATTTCACTAGGCTCTTCTATCAAGAGTGTTGGGATTTTAATAATGAAGACCTTTCTGATTTTGTTCTAGCATTCTTTCGTGGGTTTTCTAGCCAAAAATTATTTCAATTTTCTATAATTATTTTAGCACTTAAAGTCCTAATCCCATTTGTTGGAAAGATTATAGATTCAGCAACCTCTATATTATGGTAAATAAGATTCTTTTTAAATTATTTTCCAAAACATAGGAGTCTATCATCATGAAATTATCCTTCCCAATCATAATGGTTTTATTTGTTGTAGGAACACTTGTGAAAATATTCATTTAGCTCAAACTTTTCTTATGAGATAAACTATAACGTAAAAGGAGGGAATGTTTGTTAACCTTGTTTTTTCTCAAAACCCCTGGATAAAAGGGTTGACCTGGTCAAATTGATCAGGCCAGGCTCCAAGACCCCTCCCAATCAATTTAGATGGTCAAATCAATTTTATGGAGCTCTGGCCCAGGCCTTGGGCTAACCTGGTTGACCCAAATTGACCCAAACACCCTTTATTTGATTTCAAATCTCTTCCAGAGCTTCTCAAGCTCAAATCTAACCTCCTTTGGGCTTAGTGGGTCGGGCCCAACCCATTGGGCCCTAACCCACATCCTAGGTCAACTTGGTTGACCAGGTTGACCTAATTAGGCCTAAATGGGTCAATTCAATTCTAAATCATTTAAAAACCTTTCTTTAACTCAAACCCCACCTCCCTTGGACCTATTTGATTGGGTTGACTGGGTCAACCCTTGGCCTGGTCAACCTTAGCTTTGCATGGTCAAATTTGACCTATTTTAGGTCAAATTCTCTCCCATATAGCATTTAAAAGCCTTCCTATCAATCCCTTGAGAAGATACGGCTATTTCAACCTAATTTCCTCCTAATTACCCTTAGGATCAATCCCAATCATCCATCATGACTCTAAGGCTATAAATAAGGATTTTAGGGTTCCAATTTGTGGAATTTTTGAAATTACTCTCTCCTCAAGCCTCCCTAAGCCGAGTTCTCTCATGGGTGAGCTCTTCTTACTCCCTTCCTCCTTCCCCAAGTGCAACCCGCCGCCAAGACCCCGCTGGCAGCGGGATCTCTGTCCAACCAAGGTTAAAATTATTCCAAGACTTCTCTCGTTCAATCTGAGGCGTTTCGAAGCTCGATCCAAACTAGAAAAATAGACGAGGATAATCTACAAGTTCAACCGTGCAAAAAGTTTGAAGATCCAACGATTTGATTCCTCAAAAACCTTAGACCTAGGTCACAACACTTAGGGTTAAATAGATTTATTTATAGTGCATTGTAGATCATGATTTTTGTCCCCCATAAATGCTCTTCATGTTTGGGATCTGTGTTTAAAATTTTGTTTGATTTAGTTGAGTAAATCGATCAAATAAGATGATTATTGCCTTAGGGTTCTCGAAAAATGCATACCTGGGCTATGTGTTTTCTGGACCTTTGACATTTTAATCAGCGGTTCATATCATGTCATCCCGTGGTTCTGCATTGACCGCGCGGCTGGATCCTCTGTTTGGGCAGCAGTGCGGCTCGATTTGCACCGTCTATTTGATACCACGCGAGATCGGATGACTGCCGAGAGATGCTAACGCAGATTAGTGGGAAACTGCGTGGGTCCTGCAGCCGCCGTAATCATAGGATAATGATTGGCGGCGGCGCCAATCATTGCCCATGATTGGGCACCGCCACCGCATTTTTTAGACCTAATCCCAGGTCACCGCGTGTCTGGTATGCCGCCTCATCTTTTTTGATTTTTTATTTTTTTTAAATGTTTTCTTTTTATTTTTAAAATTACTTTTAAATTATTCTAAATTCACGCACTTTAACACTTACTTTAACTTAGCTTAATAATTATTTTCAAATGGTAATTATTTTAAATTATTTTAAAATTACTTTTAATTACCCTTAAACTTTAAAAATTCATAATTATTTCACTTTAAATCAGATTTTTCAGAATTATACCTCTAAAATTTTAAAATATTATGCACTTTTATTTAAAAATATTTTCATATTTGAAAATTTATTATTCTGACTTGTTTTCTGTATTACTTAATTATTTATATTATTTAACTATTATTTAAATTAAATAATATGTTAAATATTTTGAAATTACAAAATTATTTTGAATTATTTTAAAACCTCTCTGAAGGGGCCAGTGCATCTCTCAAGGGTATGAATATTTAATTACTTTGAATCATATTATTTTGAAACTTATGTATTCGTGCGCTAGTAAGCACGAATATTTTGAATTATTTTGAGATTACCTATACGATTAAATCCCTAAATTTGAGAGACCCACTACTTGAAATTCTGAATATAGATTCATGCACATGGATAGCATTCATAGGGGAGGTAGATTAGTGGGTGGTTGAGTTCTAATAATTCATTAATCTCACCAATAAGTATGTTTCCTTTTCTTTTACCATTTTTTACATGTGTATGACGCACGATCACTTAGCCTAGACCCTCCTAGATCCTAGGAATTGATGTGTTTACAGTTTTTATGCATCCCCGCATTTTATCTTAAGGGTTAGTCTCAAGCCTTGTATTTAAACCAAAATTACATAGCGACACCCTAATTACAATAATTAAGGACCCGTTTAGCGAACTTAGAAAATTATAGGAGCAAGGATAGATCCCCGATTGACATGAAATTTTTAAAACTTAAACTTAGTGACATCCTAAACCTTTCAAATTTTTCTAGGATTTTTTTAGGACCCTTTAGACCCTTTAATTAGCAAACCCTAATTTGCCCATTAATTAAGCCCTCAATAGCTTCAAAAAATTATAATAAATCCATTTCAACTCAAAAAATTACCCATAATAGCTCAAGATCTTCATAATTAAGTCCTTAACCTTAGATAATTAGGGCCCTTTAATAAGACTTTAATTTGAGCTTTAATTTAATTTTAATTAAAAATTAATTTTTTTCCCATATTAAATAATTAAAAATTATTAAAAATTCCAAATTTTCTCCAAATACTTGTGAAAATCTTCTTAGGTCATTCCTGACCTTTGGGGGTGATTTCAATCAACTTGGAGCTGATTTGGATCAAAACCCCTAATATACCCTTTATTAAGTAATTTTAATAATTTATTAATTCACTAAAACTTCTAAAATTCACAACTTTGTCTTGAAAACTCCAAATCCAGTAAACTCAAAGTCAAATTATTTCTTGTAAGGCCTAATATTTAAATAAAATATTATAATCTACAAACATAGCCTATTTCTAACAGTGACCTTTTGGACCCCTCATCCTAGTGTATAGAAGGACCCTAGACTTTCTAAAATCTAGTAAGAAAACTTAAACTTCAAAGATCACTATCCTATGTATTAAAATGGATTAACAAACTAAATTAACTAAAATAAACCCCAACCCATTAATATTTAAACTTCAATCAAAGTTCCTTTTTAAAC